TGTAATTGCACATTCCCTCTCCCAGTTCAGATCAGACCCATTGACTGGCCCTGGGCAAAACATAGTCCAGAGGATGTAATTCCTTAATGCTAGGCATTTGTTGCTGGCTGAGGTGCCCGAGAACCCACCTTCCTCTTGCAGCTTGGCCCACAGGAGCTGGAAGCTTCTTAAGTACATCTGTGCGTTGACTAAGTTGGTGTGTGCTGGTCCTCACCAGAGCCCAAAACACTTTTCCCCAAGGATGTGATCCTGAAGTGTGGCAGCACAGATCTTCTGTGACTGATGCTTTTATTTGGACTACCTGTGGGTTTTTGTATGTATTTGTTGGATTTTTAATGCAATGATCAACCTTTAAAAAAATACAGCCACAGAACAAGGCACCATGGTTGCTGAATTACCTCAGGGGAGCTGGACCTCCTTGTGACTCTCATTGTCACCTGGTCGTAGGGAAAAGGATATCGAGGCTATTTCACAGAATGGTTGAGGTTGGCAGGGACCTCTTGAAATAGTCCAGTCCACCCACCTTCTTTAGCAGGGTCAGCTAGAGCAGATTGCCCATGGTCGTATCCAGTTGCGTTTTCGGTGTCTCCAAGGATGGAGACTTCACAGTTTCTCTGGGCAGCCTACACAAATGTTTGTCCACCATCAGTGTAAAGTAGTGTTTCCAACCAAAGCTCACAAGGTCCCCATGGAAATCCTTTTGTCTCGTGCACACCAAGGCAGAACGCATCAGTGATGGATCTGATGCTTTAGGTGTATTAATAAAAAAATATTCCGCCCATTTGGGAATGGTTCTTGCAATTCAGACTAAATTAGAGCAGTATTTGCTGCTTATGCTGTTCATTTGTTTTGGGCTTCTGCACAGCGGCACTGTGGTCCATACAGCTTGAGGACCGTAACAGATCTCAGACACGCTTGTTCTGTTTCATAAGTGAGCACTGCAAGAGAAATGGTCTAGATTTCCCCGTGCAAAGCAGATAGCTCAGATAATATAAAGAGTATTTGTTCTATTTCTCTGTGCACTGTCTTTCTCTCTTCTACAGATAGGCATTTTCATCAATCTTCCTCTTTTTATTAACACTAGGTCAGTATCCAAGGGGGGTTGCGCAACGAAGTGCATCTCTAAGGAGTCATTCCTCTTTTTGCAGCCATAACTGATGCACTGAGAGAATCCCATCAGGAGTTCAGTTCAAAGGGGTTCTGCCTTCAGAAGGTTTGCAGTGAAAAAGCCTGATTGGTCTCCGCCTTTCTGGGTTACGTGATCAGAGAACACTGCTACCCACAGTAACTGCTGGTTGATGGAGAGTTCATGTAAAAGTGTACATGAGCTTTGTTACAAGTATTTCAAATACTTCAGTGTGTGAACGTTGACAACCAGTCCATCTATTGGTAAAAACACAGCATTGCTCCTCTGGCCGTTTCAGAGTTAGCTACAGTTACTCCCCGTAGTGCTGCATAGTTGGTGTGTGTCTTGGCCTCAGTAAAAGCCGTTTTTTCTCATTGCTAGGCTTTTGCTGTGAGATTACCGCTTATTTTTGGTGAGTCTAGGACAGAGGATGTATTCAGGTAGGAATTGTCTGGCATCTCAGTTTCTAGCCTGGCTGAATGTAGCTAGCTTATTGAGGCAGGCAGCGACGCTGCATAATTTTAACAAAAATTTTTCTGTGAAACTGGAACAGAAGTGCATCTTCATTTCCCCTGGTTTGTGCCTTACATGACTGAACGTTGCTTTCATGATCAGTGTTATACTTGTGAAGTCTACTGGTCTGCAGTATGCTTCCAAGCTTTTCCTTGTCTGATCACCTCAAGGGCATTCCTGTGATTATTTTTGTTACTGCCATGATAGTGCTGGATGCTCTGAGGGCTTTAGCTTGTCAAGCCAAGTAGGGACAGACCTCTCTGCAATGTATGTGGCATTGCCTCCCTGGATTTCACTCTGGTGTGATGGGAAATGTGAGACAGGCAGGCTGTGCTGGAGTTAGGTTCTCTGCTAACTGCCAGGGGCAACACTGGGTGCAAGGATGTCTCTCCTCCCTTCCCTTCTACACCCACTGCAGTGAGTGATTTGGCTGGTACAGGCTTGTTAAAAAAACACCCCACAGCCCTAATCACAAGACTGACCTGAGCATCCCAGACCCACTCCCTGTGATTTCCATTAGCAGCCATCCTCCAAGTGGTCTTGTGGCTAAATCAGCCGCTGAGCCTCTGGAAAGTGATTTGATGAAAGCATTTTATATCAATTGAATGAAACGTTGGTTGGATGCCAGCAGCAGGGGTTGCTGTCATGATTAATGAAATATTTAGGCCTTTCATTTTGGAGGTGATACCTGCAACACAATTCACATTGAAGCTGGTTGGTTGTTTTGTTTTTTTTTTTTTAGATGGGCTTTAATAAATTAGTGTTAATATTTGTTATTTAATTATTCGTAACAAATTGGTTACAACTACTGCAGTGTTACATTTGGGTTGAACACATTATGAAGCCTTTCAGAGAGCTCATAAACAAAAAAGGGTTGTGTTCACAGCATTGCACGTTACTTTTCTGATGTGAAACAATGTAAAAGAGGTGGAAGGATTGAAATGGCCTGTAATTTGTGGAATGCAAGGATTGCCTGAGTATAAAGCTTTTGAAGGTGATACTAAATGAGCATGCATCAACAGGGTATATCTTGCCACTAGTAGAAGCAGTGAAATCTAATAAATGAAAGTAACATCTTACCTCTCTGTTGTCTAAGGGCCTCTATTGTTAAGTGAACAGGAATAGTAAAGGTAGAGAAACGGCATTAAACCTTTTCAAACTTCTCCTAACTACCAGTTGAAAGTTTTACAGTCCCTTAACCCTGTGCATGGTTAAAGCTGAGGCTATAGCTGCTTAAAGTTCAGCTCCCACATTAAGCAGGCTCTGCTGCTCCTCCTGCCCCTCTCCCCAGGAAGTCCAGACAGCAGCTGGCAAGGCAGGGACTGCTTTTGGCCCGGGACAGTAGCTCTTACAAAGCACCCAGGCGTCATGAAGTGAAGGGGTTCACTGAAGGGTGGAACCTGAAGGCACCTCCTCACTCAAGGACAGAAACATAGTGTTACAATTTCTGCTCTTATAAAAAGGACTGTACTTGATCCATTATTTGTTCCAAGCCACTGTTTTCTGCAAATTGACTGCAGCAGAGTAGAATATTGTGTTCTCTGCCCTCAGTACTGCAAGGATGAATATCTGGAGCAGGGGAGATTGAAAGATGGAAAGGCAGCGGGAGCAGCTGGGAGTTAGAGGTTTAACTGGAGGGCAGCCCAGTGCTCTCGTAGGGATGATGCTGGCAAGGACCAAGAGCTGTAGCATCCCTGCGTGTTGGAAGCAAGCAGAGGTATGTCAGGGCCCCAGAGAAAACTCTGCAATATAATGGGCAAAAATAAAGCTTTGGAGCTGAAATATTGGCAGCTTTTCTAGAAAACAGAAGTGCTAATGGTAACACAGTTTTCTGTTAAGCCCAGTGCATTGAACTAATGAGCAGCTGGCTGGTTTTTGTCTGAGTATTAAGCCACAGAGCAGGATGTGGATTTTTTACATTGCTGAGGTGACACAGAGACTAAGTGGAATACAAATAAAATGAGCTTAAATTCAGCTGTTGCAAATCTCTCTGCTGTAGAGCAACTTATTTTTTGCTGACCTTTAACATTTTTTTTAAGGTTCTTATGCATGCATGCATGCCTGGGATTCTTACTCTCTGGGAATTAGCCCTCGTTATATTTTTCCCCATCTCTGCATGCTTTGTTGCTTAGCTCTTGCAGTTTCTGAGTAGCCACGCAGTGCTGGCCTGTTTCTAACCTGTCTTCTGCTTCAGCTGTGAGTGAGCTTAACGGAACCACAACAGGCTGTGCAGAGAGATGTCATTTATGCCAGACCAGTCACAGGGGTTTGGATGTGACTTTGTGCAAAGCTTGTAAATAAACTTCTTGAGTCTGGGGAAGAAGGTGCAATTCAACCTCTTGCTTGGCAGCTTGGTTTGGTATTGCTGGGAAGCTATGAAAGGCTGAGGAGGATAAAAGCCAAAAATAGATCATGGTATCTTTTTTTTCCTCTTGTTTCCTAAGTGCAGATTGACCATCTTTCATTTTGCTGAAGGAGCTTTCCTGTGGCTGGGCAGTCTCACCTGAGCAGTCACCTGCACATCACAGGCACTGTCAAAGGAGGGGACAAACCCAGCCCCTTCCTGAATTGCTGACATAATACTGATGTTGAAATGCCCTTTTGCCCACATTGGGGAATATTGAATTTACCGAATAAGCTTATATAAAAGTATAAACTCCAGTAAAAGGAAGGAGTTTCGTTGCCAAACACTGCTTTAAAAAGCCCTTTTCTCTGCTTGTCCAGGGAGGCAGAGGGTTGAGATCTGCTGGAAGGATGAAGTCCCTTGTGCCAGTGCTACTGTCATGGGAGAAGGGAGAAGATGCTGCATAAGCCAGGGGATTTCAGAGACTATCTGGGCAATGTGAACGTGGTTGGCACAGAGCCATTTGCCCTTCCTGCCCCTCACTTCATCCCTGCTTACTTTCACTTTTGAACAGATGGATTTTTTATCACTGCTGCTCTCCCTTCCCACTCAGTCAGCGCAGATCAGCCTGTTGGAGTGGATCAAGAGTTGGGATCCAGACCTGGGCATTGCAAGCCATATGATAGAGGAGTGGGATTGTAGCAGAGAAGTAAAATAATGAGGATTATTATTTCCCAAATAATAAGTATTGATGATAATACGGGTTAATATTGCCCAAATAGTCCCTCCCAAACTGCATTCCCTTGTCCTTCCATGGCATACTAGTAACTGAGAAAGCCTAGAGGGGAGGAAAAGAGGCCAGATGAAATGAGATATTTTCCTAGAGATTTATAGCATCCTTTTTCTCTTTTTTCCTTGTCCTGGGCAGGGTCTACATTTCCTGCAGGGCTCTGCCTGCACCTGGCCCTCTCCACCAAGTGGGGCTGGATCTCAGACAGGTGCTCTCTTGCTTTGCAGCTGCTGAACCCGGATCCAGAAGAGGATGGGGAAGCAGAACAGCAAGCTGCGCCCTGAGGTGCTCCAGGACCTGCGTGAGAACACTGAGTTCACAGACCATGAGCTGCAGGAGTGGTACAAGGGCTTCCTAAAAGATTGCCCAACGGGCCATTTGACTGTGGAGGAGTTCAAAAAAATATACGCAAATTTTTTCCCCTATGGTGATGCGTCGAAGTTTGCGGAGCACGTCTTCCGCACTTTTGACACCAATGGTGATGGGACGATTGACTTTAGGGAATTCATCATTGCCCTGAGCGTCACCTCTCGGGGCAAGCTGGAACAGAAGCTGAAGTGGGCGTTTAGTATGTACGACCTGGACGGCAATGGGTACATCAGCCGTGGGGAAATGCTAGAAATAGTGCAGGTGAGGTGCTGTCTCTGTTTTATTCATGTTGTTGTAACCTCTTCACCCTGAGACAGCTGGAGCTGGAGATGAGGGATGTGCTGAGCTGGGTCCCTTCTGCCTGGGGAAGCTCCTGAGCCTGTGGTCCCCAAAACAACACTGGGGACCATGGTGGGGCCTGTGAGGTGTAAATGAGGAAAGAGACGAAGAGATGAACAGGGCCCTGTGTGACTGGTCTGCAGCCAAAATCTTGCAGCTGTCCCTGGGAATTTCTTAGTGGGGTGTTGGTGGGATCAAAAACCCCCAAATGCCTATTTTATTGTGCTCGTTAATCTCAAAATTAATACTTTGAAACTTCAAATCTGAGTCAGTGTGAGCTCCGAATGAAAGGCTGTAGTATGATTTTTGTCTCCTGAAGACTGGGGAGCATCGCCCATGGGCTGCACTGGGGGGTTGTGTGGGCCAGAGCCCCTTGTGCCCCTGCCCCACATACTGGCCAGGGCTCAGCCTCGGCAGCGGGCTGCTTGCCATCTGCTCTGCAGCTGGGATGTGTCTCCAGTGCACTGGGAAGCACATAATGCATCCAGACAGTGTCCCAGCGGTTGGTCCTTGTGGATGAGCAGGGATAATTTAGGACTGCAGATGTCCTAAAGAGGTTTCATCTTTATTCACATTCTTGTAAGTCTGAAAATGCATTTCCTTCCCATCCACAAAGAAAAACAACACCTATTCCTATACATCCGTATTCACCTGTAGTCCATACAACACCCCACACGCATACATGTAACTGTGTATGTTGAGAGCCAGCTGAAGAGGCAACGCCTTAGCCCAGCTGCAGAAAAGAGAATTAGGCACCAGTGCCTCCTGTATCTTAGCTCAGTCCTGCTCACACATTAATCTAGATCCTGACTTTCACTTAAACTGACCCAGCAGTGCAGCAGCTCCTTTTGAAGTGTGAATGAATACAGGAAAGAAAAATAAAAAAAGCTGCAGTCAGAAATTCCTATTTGTTTTGGTTTATAAAGTCCCACAGCTGCCTGCCAGGGTCAGCTGCCTTTTTTATTGCTACAGGCTTAATTTTTTTTTTCTCAGTCCTGATGCTTTATTGTTTGGGTTGTGTTTTTCCTATATCTATTTTTATTTTTTATATTATTACTCAGGCAATCTACAAAATGGTTTCATCAGTAATGAAAATGCCGGAAGATGAATCCACTCCCGAGAAGCGAACAGACAAGATTTTCAGACAGATGGACACAAACAACGATGGTAGGATCTCCACCAGCACCCCTTCACAGGCTCTAGAAATACAGGTTTTCTAGTCCAGCATTGGTTGAAGCAGATGATAGTATTTATAGGGTGGGGTAGAGAGCAGGAATGTCTCCACCAGTGCCTCTAGTCTCTGCCTGGCCTTGGTGGGCATCTCTGGGCCATTAAAAAATAAGGTGAATAAGTGGACAGCCGGGGGGTGGGGGGGGGGGG